CGAGCCCGATGATGACGATGAAGAAGATTAAGAAATTAATATAGTTTATTTTCACAGAACCACGAATTAATTCATTCTAATGGCTAATTGCGCTGACTAACAGATAAAATTTAGGTGCAGCTAGATAAATAAAAAAAACGAATGGAGAAACAATCAAGGATTTAAAAAAAAAGAGAAGAAAAATTACATATCTATATATCCTTTTACATAAATAATGCATGACGTACTTATTATGTTCGAAAATTATTCTAAGCATGATATTATAATTAACCTATATATTAATTTTGCTTTACAGTGAAAAGTAAGTCTTAATTTAAGATTAGTTTGAAATTCAGCACTATCGGCTATAATGTTAAACCATATAAATTAAATTGCGTAATCTCAGCATTTACAGTCTTAAAAATTGTTGCATCTTAATTTAAGACTGCCTTACTTTCTTTAACTGAGTTTCTCAAATATAAAAATTTATTATCGCATGCAAATAATCCCTCAGCTTTTGTAAGGGAATTAGAATCTAATAATGTAATTAACTGGTGGCAGTAAACTCTACCCTACTGATCCTTTCAAGAACCTAATTAATGCTATGTAGATCAGGAAGGAAGGGAGTTTTAATTTTTACACTTTTAAATGAATATATAAAAAAAATAATAAAAAAAAAAAAACAAAAAACAAAAAACAAATTTTTAATAAATAAAATTACAATTTCTATAATTTTGATTAGAGATACAGTAACTAATATAATTATGTTAATTATTATAATATAATTATATTGGTTACATTATAATTTAAACCAGAGATTGACTTACTAAACGAAGTAAAGCTTCAGTTTCGGAAAAATGCTGCGGACATTCATCATTTGTTTCTTTTCCATAATTATCCTTAATTTTGTTAATTAATTATCACCAATCTATGTATCGAGTCTTTAATAATCTTGACCAAATGGGATTTGTGTGAAACTGCCCTGGTTATTATCACTAGTTCTAAGTGAGATGCACATACTGTCCTCTGTGGGCCGAACGGGATCATCAAATCATCTGGACCAATACTAAAGGACGTCACCACACGTACGGCGCAATATTTAACCTGTCTCACAAGTCAGTCCCTGCCATGCTCACAGGAATGGAAATCGCCTTCAGCGGATTTCCATTCTAAGGAAGGGGATCTGTTACGTCCGGACGTGTCAGTTCGTCCTTCTTCTTTATTTTTATGGAAAAGAAACCAATGATTTTAGATTATTTTACATATATATATATAAATATGTGTGTGTGTGTGTGTGTGTGGATCCACGTATGAATCCTTTATTATGTGTACTTTACTTTCCTCAAATTAATTTTATTATTGAACTATTTTAACAATAATGTACGTTAAGAGATTGGAATCCTTGAAGAATATTTGAAATTGCATTCGAAAATTGCCATATCATAAAGATAGACATCTCAACCACCTTAGAAAACGATTTCGAGAGTTGAAAACATTGTCACCACATTTTTGGATTTTTGGTCCCTCTTAATCCAGGACTTCGTTGTAAAAACACGTAGCATTCTCTTTTTATCTACTAGAAAGTATGATGGGTTAATCATATATCATAAAAAAGGTGTACTCGAAACTCAAAAAAGTAATAAGACCGAGATCTGCAAAACAGATGCTCGGTAATAAAACTCAGGCCCCTGGTAATGAGTCACCCTGGGACCTGAACCCTACCCTCTCCATGATTTTTCTCAGTTTTTCATTTTTTGATATGATTGGAGGAAAACTCTTTTGGGGTAGGGGAAAATTGCAAAAGAAGGGATACACTTTTGGCAAAAAGAGGTTCCTGAGGCCCTCGCAGTCACCTATTAAATCAGTCTGGTAAAAATCTTCAATTTCTGATCACTTAGATCGAGAAATCGGAACGAAGTCTTGGGTTACGGGCCCTTAGTTCAAGTTCTCGCTGGACGTTGTCCACCAACTGAAGAACCCCTGTCGTGCTCGTGGTCAACTCTCGTTCTCCTCTCTAAGTTCGCCCGGTTTTTGCTAAACTCCGGTAGTTATAGTTAAATTGATAAGAACGATAGTAAAATCCTTTAATCATAAAGAAAGATAGAAACCTTCTCCAAGGACATCAATCGATCACCATTAATGTATATGTAAGTAAAAGAAACTTGAAAATAACCTTGAAAATAAACTTATTCGGAATATTCGAATTATTAATCTAATTAACAGAGTTTTATTAATTACGCAGCGTGGGCTGGTACCCCCTTTAATAGAATAAGGATCCACTGAAGGAAATCTCTTATAGATTTTTCTTCTTAATAATTAGGAAAATTAAGATTTTGAACGTCACCTTCAGTGACGTAACACACTTACAAATTTTATTAATTTAATTATTTTAATGATATTCTTATATTTTTCAGGCTAGGGGGAATTATTGTGCATGTTAATAACAATCATTACATGGCAATATGTCCAAGACTAAATGGACGCTGGGAGTTGTATAATGACTGCGCAAAAACTATCACTAAATTTAAGAAGAGAGAAGCAATTTCACCACACGCAATTATTTATGTAAAAACCGGAAACGAAATTTAATTTATTTGTTATTTATTATTTTTCGCTACATTTTTCATAAAAAAAATGATAGATGTTTCTAGTAAGTTATGAAAATTTACGTTCGACTAATATTTACTACACGTAAAACGTTAAATATTCCATATTTCTACGAATTTAACAATTACCATACAACAAAGTCGCTAAAATATCTAAATATTTTTATTTTAATTTTTTTTTATTATTTTTAATTTTAAATCTGCGAAAATATCTCCTTATGTTAAAGTTTATTTAAAAGTTAGAAAATGAGACAACACAAAATTTCTTTTTGCTAATTAAGAATAACTTTTTGACACATTTAAAAACAAGTGTTTGCATTGCGTACAAAAACATAGACGCTAGGGCTAATTTTAATGTTAACTTAAATCACTTGTGATACTTAAAAACCTGATAATTTTAAGTAATAATATGAACATGTTTGTCACATTAATCAACAAATATTTAAATTTGTGACAAAAACAAAGAAGGCTGTCGTTAATTTTAATGTTAAGTTAAATCTCTCGTCCAATTTACAAAATTGATCATTTTAGGTATTAACTATGATATATGTATATTTAAACCAAATATATGTTTAATGATATTATTGTTAAAAAATAAAAAATTTTATAAAACATTAAAGTTTAAAAGAAAAGAATAGAAAAATGTGTTATAATAATGGATGCTTTAATAATAGACAAAAAAATATGTCTTAAATCAAAAATACGTTTAAAAAAACAGCATACTCCGTCGAATTATCAATTCGTCGAATGTTAAAAACATCGAATTGTCAATACGTCGAATGTTCAAAACGTCGAATGCTAAAAACATCAAATGGACAAAACCTCGAATGCTAAAAACATCGAATCCTCATTTAATCGAATGCTAAAAACATCGAATTCTCAATTCGTCGAATGTTCAAAACGTCGAATGCTCAAAACGTCGAATCGTCATTTAGTCGAATGGTAAGACCATCGAATAGTCCATTCGTCGAATGCTCAAATAGTCGAAACGCCATCTGTTCGAATTATCAAGTAGTAGAATGGTAAAGTTGTCGAATGTTCAAAACGTCGAATCGTCATCTGTTCGAGTTGCCAAGTAGTAGAATGGTAAAGTAGTCGAATGGACAAAAAGTCGAAACGCCATCTGTTCCTGTTTAATCACTATATATGTGATAATTTATTAAAATAATTATTGTATTTTTTATATAATATTTAATGATGATTATTAATTATATTCTATTATTTGTTAACTTTTTCATTTAATTAAATTAATCTTTAACCATAATGTATTAAGTCTAATTTTATAAGACAGTTATTCTATATTATACTCAATACGATATATTTATAAGTTTCATTTTTCTAAACAAGATAAGTAACTTCGGCGAATGCACGTGTTCCAAAATTTGTTTAGTTTATCCCTACTCTCGCTATACTTGAGACAAAGGGTATCTTGAAAGAAGGTTGATGAAGTCGTCAGTACCAATTTGGGAATTGTAATGAAAAGTTCATATAAATTTACACATTAAAATAATTCTCATTGTTCTTATTTATTCTTTCCCTCTTGTATACGAAATAATCTTTCCTTCATGTAAAAATGACGGAAAGGTACTAAAAACATTAGTACATTTAAACATGGTCCTTCGAGCCGGATTTTTATTCCTTTTCTTTCAAAAAACTTTAATTTGGTGCTAATAAACAGAAACTAACTAAACGCAACAGTGCTGTGCAGTGAAACGAATTTATTCACCTGATATCTTGATCAGATCAGACAAAGCAAACACAAAAGTGAATTTTGAAAGTGTATAATCAGTGTTATACCAAATTCAACCTAACTTAATCAAATAATACTCAATTATATTAACATAATAATACTTTATAAAAAAACTTAATCAGTGCAATATACAAACAAAAGTGAATTAATTCCACCAATTTAAATCAATACATTAAATAATGTTAACATAGAACATTCAGTTCTGTACATCACTCGTTTTAAATTAATTCTAAGTAGTACTACATTTCTTTCATGATTTAAATCTTTTTCACAAAAGGGGACATTACAACAAAAATACCCTTAACAATCGTTCAAACGAATTTTATATTCGACAAGCAAATTGAGGCAATGCGTTTAAACACCTCAACAAATACAACAACATATCAATGAGGCAATGCGTTCAATACACCTCAATCACATTTAACATTAAATCGGCAATGCGTTTAAAACACCGTTATTAAAACATACATTCACTTTGAGACAATGCGTTCAAAACATCTCATCTTCTTCACAGGCACTTATCAGGTTCTATAAGGTATGTCAATTTATTGAGTCTTACTTAAAGAAATGTCCTATCTATTGTGTGTTATTTACATAATCATTAATATTTAATCTGATAATCATTTACTTTACAATTTTGAATAAATTCATATACATTATTCAAAATGGAGGATTTTGATCGTATAAGCGTTCTTTCACAAAAAATAATTACAATTAAAGAACATTTAACAGCTTTCGAAGAATTTCTTGCACAATTCAATTCACATGATCCTGCTCAAATCGCTGAATTACAATTACGATACAATTCAGTATTTTCGTATTTTTCAAATATTGATGAATTGTACAACGAGATACAATTAATTGATTCTGAAACTGACCATACCCTCGATAAAAAAACTTTACAAAATTCATTTTTTAAATTATTAGCGTCAGCTCAAAATCATGTTACAATTATAACACAAAGAGAGCAAACTAATAATTTACATAATCATGAATTAAATTCTAATTCGGAAAATGAACGACTCTCAAACGTTTCGAGTCACTATAGAAAATTAAAATTACCACAAGCCACTCTTCCAACTTTCAGTGGAAAGGTGGAAGAATGGTTGTCTTTCAAGGACACATTTATTACTATGATACACAGACGTGACGACATTACGAATGTTGAAAAATTGCAATACTTAAAATCAGTATTAAAGGACGAAGCTTTGCGAAAGATTCAAGTTTTTGCAATCACGGACGAAAATTACGATCGCGCATGGAAGCTTTTGCAAAAATCATACGAAGATAAGCGTACATTAATTTCTTGTCATTTAAATTTGTTGTTGCGTTTACCATCACAAGAAAAAGAGTTTTATCAAGGCTTGATTGCTCTTGCAGATAAATCACAACAACATCTTCAATCTTTGGCTTCACTCGGAGTTCACTCATGAAATTGTAGTTGCTATTATCGAAGAAAAACTACACAAATTAACTTTAGAGAAATGGGACGAAAGTATAAAAAATGGGGAATTTCCTAGTTTGGAAGACATGACAGATTTTCTTTACAGAACTGCTGCACGTATTTCAAAACGTAAAATGAACACAGATAATAATGACAAAGATTCTCCCGTTAATAAAAAACGTAAAATCGAATCCAAAAAACAAGCTCTCGTTACTTCAACTTCCAAACAGTGTATACTTTGTTCTGATTCTCATCCTTTGTTTAAGTGTACCAAATTTTTAAGTTTGACTGTTAACGAACGTTTCAAAACTGTAAAAGATGCTAATTTATGCGTAAATTGTTTACGTAATCATAAAACAAAAGATTGTAAATTTGGCACTTGCAAAAAGTGTAATAAACGACATAATACTTTGTTACACTTTACAAGGTCTCAGGATCAGAATCAAAGTGAAAATAAAGAAACATGACAATTAACGGACAATTTAAACATTTCATTAAATTTTCTGGTAACGGTATCATCATTTCATTTAATGACAAGTGCAATGGTTGAAGTATTTGATTATAAAAAACAAAAAATAAAAGCTCGAATTTTATTAGACACTTGTGCTACTGCAAATTTTATTACACGCGATTTATTAAATAAACTGAAACTTTCAACTACAAAATGTTCTTTTTCTGTAGGAGCTTTGAACAATTTAACTACTACAGTAAATAGTATGTTAAATATAACATTCAAATCTATTCATAACGAATATAAACAAACTCTTACTTTTCTTGTTGTTCCAAATATAACTGATTTAGTTCCGAATCAAACCATTAAAAGAGAAAATCTTAAAATTCCTCAAAATATTTTATTGGCTGATCCAAATTTTCATAAACCTGATAAAATCGATATGCTTATTGGAGCCGGTCCTACCTTATCTTTGTTTTCAACCGGTTCAATAAACTTATCTGAAAATGGAGATGATCTCTATTTACAAAAAACTAGATTGGGTTGGATAATTGCTGGCGGTTTGGATATTTGCAAAAATTCTCAAAACATTAAATCAACTAAATGCATGTTAACAGATTTGCAATCAACTATTGAAAAATTTTGGTTCATTGAAGAATTACCAACTCAATCTATTTTTTCTCAAGAAGAAATCGAATGTGAAAAACATTTTAAAGAACACGTAACGCGTGACAAAGACGGACGATATATAGTTGCCTTACCATTTAAAATATCACCCGACAAAATCGGAGAATCTAAACAAACAGCGATAAAAAGATTAAATGGGTTACTAAAAAGATTTGATAGTAATGATGAATTTAAAAAAGAATATTCAGCAATAATTCAGGAATATTTAAATTTTAATCATATGACAAAATTAGACTCATCAATTAATACAGAGGGCTTCTATTTACCCCATCACGGCGTTTTTAAAGATTCGAGTGTTACTACAAGATGGCGTATTGTTTTCAATGCTTCTTCGAAAAGTTCTAACGGAATTTCATTAAATGACACTTTAATGGTCGGTCCTACTATTCAAAGTGATCTTTTCTCATTATTAATGCGATTTAGAGTATTTAAATATGTACTTATAGCTGATATTGAGAAAATGTATCGACAATTTTTAATACGTAAAGAAGACCGAAAATTCCAAAAAAAATTTATGGTATGAAAATCAAAAAATTCAAGAATACCAGTTAAACACAGTAACTTTCGGTTTTGCTCCCTTAGCTTTTTTAGCCACTCGATGTTTACAACAATTAGTAGAAGATGAGGGACAAAATTTTCCATTAGCCGCAAATGTTTTAAAAAATTATTTATACGTTGACAACCTTCTTACGGGTGCTTCAACATGTAAACAAGCTCGAGAAATATATAATCAAATGATTCAACTTTTAGATAAAGCACAGCTCAATATGCGTCAGCGGGCTTCCAATGAACCTTCTATACTTGAAGGTGTTAATGAAAAGAGCATCGATAACGAATTTAAGCTTAATAAAGATTACACAGTAAAAACTCTTGGTGTATATTGGAAGGCCATTGAAGACATATTTTTATATCGTATTAAATCACCTGATATTAGCATTGCATTCACCAAAAGAACAATTTTATCTGAAATAGCAAAACTATTTGATCCTCTCGGTTTTTTGGGTCCAGTTATACTATATGCCAAATTAATTATGCAAGAATTGTGGCAATCAAAAATCACGTGGGATGAATCGATACCTTCTTCGATTTATCATAATTGGACAAATTTTTGTACACAACTTGAATCACTTAAGACTATTAACATACCAAGATACGTTTTAATTGATAATGTAAAAACTGTACAATTGCATGGCTTTTGTGATGCTAGTATGAAGGGATACGGAGCTTGTTTATATGTTCGTAGTGAGAACGATAAGGGACAAATACAATGCATTTTATTATGTTCAAAATCACGCGTTGCACCTTTAAAAACAAGTACGATACCAAGATTGGAACTTTGCGGAGCAGTTTTGTTAGCAAACTTGTGTCAAAAAATTTTACATTCACTTCAAATTAACATTGAAAAAACAATTCTTTGGACTGATTCAGAGATTGTATTACATTGGTTACGCGCAAATTCAAATTCTTTAAAAACATTCGTTTCAAATAGAATTTCTGAAATTCAATCAAAAACTGAAATAAATCAATGGCGTCATGTTCCTTCTAAAAACAATCCTGCTGATCAATTATCGCGAGGTCAATTACCTGATAAATTTATCACAAATAATAATTGGTTTCAAGGTCCCTCTTGGTTATGTCAAAATGAAACTTTTTGGCCAAAATTTCAACTAAAAAAAGTCAATGAACCTTTACCTGAATCTAAACAATTAACTTGTTTAAAAGTTAACTTACAAATCAATACTTGGAAAAAATTTTCTTGTTTCACAAAATTGAAAAGAACTATTGCTTTCTGTTTTCGTTTTTTACCTAAGTATAGACAATGTAAAGGTCCCTTAACAACAGTAGAATTAATTCATGCGGAATTGGTTATAATTCGACTTGTACAAAACGAATGTTTTCAAAGCGAAATTGACGATTTAAGAAAAAATAAACCTTTAAATAAGAAAAGCAAACTTTACAATTTGGATCCTTTTCTTAGCGAAGACGGTTTATTACGTGTCGGAGGTCGTTTAAAAAATGCAAATATTTCATTTGATCAAAAACATCCAATAATTTTGCCGAAATCGAATTTTTTAAGCGAACTAATCATTTCTCATTTTCATGCTATTTCCTATCATGGAGGTCAACAAGCGACTTTATATTCGATACGTCAAAAATATTGGCTTGTAGACGGAAGAAATCAAGTTAAAAAGATTATACGTAAATGCGTTCCTTGTTTTCGAGCTAAACCAAGACTAGCCAGTTATAAAATGGGTAATCTGCCTGAATCACGGGTAACTCAAATAAGACCATTTAATAAGGTTGGTACAGATTACTGTGGTCCCTTTTTTATAAAAGAACGAAAATATCGAAATCAAAAAAGAATTAAAGTCTATGTATGTGTTTTTGTTTGTATGTCTCTCAAGGCAATTCACATTGAATTAGTAAGCGATTTCTATTTATGTGCAAGAAATGAGTTGAATGATATATATGTTCTTTTTAAATCTCAAAATTTCAAAAATGATATTTGTTATTTTACAAGTAACAAAAATATTGAATTTCATTTCATTCCTCCTTCCTCTCCTCACTTTGGTGGATTATGGGAGGCTGGAGTGAAATCATTTAAACACCATTTCAAAAGAGTAGCTTCAAATTCTCTGTTTACATTCGAAGAATTTTACACTCTTGCAGTTGAGATAGAAGCTATTCTAAATTCGAGACCATTAACTCCTCTTTCCTCAGATGTAAATGATTTATCAGCTTTAACACCAGGACATTTTCTGATAGGTGACTCATTGACAAGTTTACCTGAACCTGATTTAAAGCCATTACCTTCAAATCGTTTATCCTCATGGCAATTAATTTCTAAAGTACGACAAGATTTTTGGAAAAGGTGGAACGTCGAGTATTTAAATGAACTTAATATTCGTAAAAAATGGTGTAAAGACTCCGAAAATTTTAAAAAGGATATGCTTGTAATAGTAAAAGATGATAACGTTTCTTGTATGCAATGGCCATTAGCGAGAATACATGAACTGCATCCTGGAAGTGATGGTGTTGTTAGATGTGTGACTTTAAAATTTTCTAACAATTTGTTAAAGAGACCAATCAATAAAATTGCTGTTTTGCCAATAGAACAGAAAATTGTTGAATGAATGTTGATCGTTTATACTCTCAACGGGGGGAGTATGTTTAATCACTATATATGTGATAATTTATTAAAATAATTATTGTATTTTTTATATAATATTTAATGATGATTATTAATTATATTCTATTATTTGTTAACTTTTTCATTTAATTAAATTAATCTTTAACCATAATGTATTAAGTCTAATTTTATAAGCAGTTATTCTATATTATACTCAATACGATATATTTATAAGTTTCATTTTTCTAAACAAGATAAGTAACTTCGGCGAATGCACGTGTTCCAAAATTTGTTTAGTTTATCCCTACTCTCGCTATACTTGAGACAAAGGGTATCTTGAAAGAAGGTTGATGAAGTCGTCAGTACCAATTTGGGAATTGTAATGAAAAGTTCATATAAATTTACACATTAAAATAATTCTCATTGTTCTTATTTATTCTTTCCCTCTTGTATACGAAATAATCTTTCCTTCATGTAAAAATGACGGAGAGGTACTAAAAACATTAGTACATTTAAACAGTTCCAATTATCAAGTAGTAGAATGGTAAAGTTGTCGAATGTTCAAAACATCGAATCGTCATTTAGTCGAATGCTAAAAACATCGAATCTTCATTTAATCGAATGCTAAAAACATCGAATTCTCAATTCGTCGAATGTTCAAAACGTCGTATTGACGATTCGATGTTTTTAACATTCGACGAATTGATAATTCGACGTTTTG